TTCTTCTGCTCCTGTTTCAACCCGTCAACGGCGCGGCAGGAGGAACTTGTAGGAGCGCTGCACCCGCTGCACGATCTGGAGCTGCTGGCCCACGGACACCAAACCCCTCTCCCCGACGAGCTCAGCCAAGTCCTCGTGCAAGTTGACGAGGTCGCTTCGTGGGAATCGTCGAGGTCCTGACCGAATCAGTCTCAGGAGCTGAAAACAGAAGTCACAGCGATAGCACCGAATACGTACGACGGGCGCGCCGGCACGTCACGTGTGCGTCAGCGTGCGTGTGTTTCAAACCGGTCCCCCGAGAGGGGGTACGGCTGAACCGACCCGGAGCACTTCGTTACTGAGTATTGAAGAGGTTCAGAACCCGCTCACACCTCAACCTGACGGGGACACCAACCCAAACGCCAAAACCGATTGCCGTTGGTTATGCAACTTAGACATGGCTTTTATGTGTGGGAGCTCATATGAAACACTCTACATGCTTCCACAACGGGCCAACCGTATAGGTACATTCCTACGTACGGGTCGCCTCCCACCTGATGCACGAGCATCATCAACTTGCCCAAGTCGAGCTCATCCAACACTCGTACAGCCATCAGACCCTGGCCACGCCCGGCAGACACGACGACCTGTCTGGTGCAGTTGTCCGAGTGGCCGAGCGGCCTCGATAGACTACCACGCCTGCGCGGCAGCCATACCTCCCCGTCTGCCTTCTTCTCATCCGTGGCTACGGGATGATCAGCGGCGAGTTGTAGCCTAACGAACGTAGTGATGGAGTACAACGCGCAGAGATCCAACGGGAAAGATGGAGCCAAGATTCACCAATGCCTTGCTGTGTCTCTTGTGAAGAGTTTCTTCTTTTTCGGCGCAGGGGAAGCACGAAAGCAGAACCATTTGCCCCGAGGGGGTCCTTGGTAGGGTGTACGGACAGGGAGGAAGGATAACCCGTCGAACGCCGAAGTACAAGATCTCTTCGGAGAGGACGGCTCGTCTTGAAGTGCGATGGTCAAGCCACTAGACGCAAAGAACGCGTGGTACAGCAGTTGTTGTTGTTGTTGTTGTTGTTGTTTCTCACATTAGCTCTAAAAAAAAAAAAAAGATTGGGAGCCCGTGGTCTCAAAACCCGGCATACACGACCCCACGAAGAAACAGAAAAAAATAGGGTACAAAAACCACTCGGAAGAGAAACAAAATGATAGAAAGAAAGACCAGCTACCGCACCAAACGAGAAAGAGCGTCGAGG